CAGTCCCCATCCGCCCACCTCCCCCGGGAAGCCACCCAGGGCCATCCCCGACCTTTCTGCCCAAGAAGGAAGCAAGTTTCCCCCAATCTGCAGTCACCTGAACTACGAGGAAGAAAGACAGGGGCCCTTTTTTCTCCAGTGACACTGGTGCTCAGCCAGTGCACAGATTCCTTAAATGACTCAGAGGCAGTGACGCGTTCCCCTGGTCCCCGTGCGGGAGACAAAGGTCAGCGCTCAGGATGACACCGACAGGTCCTACAACCAGGAAACCCAGCCTGGGGAATGCCACCCGAGCACGAGGACCTTCCGGAATCTGTGACCGACCGTGGGCATGTACCTGTGGGGTGTGGGCCCTCGCTCTGCACTTCCCCAGCCCTGGGGGCCCAGCAAGCATCTCGTCCCTGCTCGGTCCCTCTTTCCCCAGCCCTGCTAACTGCCGTATAGCAGCAGGAATGGGAAAAACCCCCGAGAGGCAGAGATAACATACTCCAGACCCTGACCTCAGGGCGCTCCTGGCCTTAAAATGTTGAGTCAACAGCCGTCTTCGGCGACAGTCCCCGAAGCCTTCATGGGGTTTTCAATCTTATGCCTTCAACTCAGGACCCATTTTTTGAGCCCCTTGCCCAACACCCGGTGGGAGAGAGAAGGGTCAAGGGCACCAGGAAGGCCGACCCTCTAGCCGCGTCTAGCTGGGCCCCGAATCCAGGACAGAACCTACCGAGGGAAGCACAGCACAGCCTCTTCCTGGGGCTCGGCAGGCGCTGGGGACACTGACCAGTCCTGGGCCGGCCCCCTTCTTCTGCCTGAGCCCATGGGGTCCTGCTGAAGACTCTTTCTTTCCTTGGGCACCGAGTTCTGCTGGCAAGGCCTGAATCAGAACGATTCTTGTAGATCTTCACGATCCAAAGCGCATGGGTGGGCAACTTGTCCAGAGTTCAGGGGCTGCAGAGGTCAGCGGGCTAAGCGCTTCCAGGTTGGGCTGTTGGGTGTGGGCCCCGAAGCTTCTCTCTGGGCAGGGGTCAAAGTGGCAGGCCCCGCAGCACTGTGACCGGCGACAGGCAGGCAGCCGGTTGTGGTGTCAAGCTTCTGTCTGGCTTTCCGGGAGGTACTTTCCCCCTGTGTTCTGAGTATGCGGCTCACATTCCAGTGGGACTTGTCACAACCCTTGGCCCAACCCGCCCGTTTTCCAGACGAGGCCTGCAGAGGTCAGGGGCAAGCCTGACGGAGAGCCCTGGCCTCCCGACTGCCCGCTCCAAGGTGCCCCCCTGCCTCTGACCCACAGGCCCAGCCTCACTCCAGGAGCCACGTCACGAATGATTCGTCGTAAAAACCAACTGTTAACCACTTAAGCAAACAGCAGCGGGACCCACGGGCGAAGTCAGGCAGGCCCTAGAGCCACCCATGCCTTCCTGGGTTTAAATTCCGCCTTTCAGGAGGCTACTGCTCTGTCAGTCTTCTTGTCTAAAAAACGGGGAGGATTATCCGAGACAATGTATGGGATTTACAGCCCATGCATTCCTGGACTATAAAAGTGTTCAGTAAAGGGGCACCTGGGGGGTTCAGTCGGTTAAGCATCCAACTTCAGGTCATGATCTTGAGGTTCGCGAGTTCGAGCCCCACATCAGGCTCTGTGCTAACAGCTCAGAGCCTGGAGCCTGCTTTGGATTCTGTGTCTCCCTCTCTGCCCCTACCCTGCTCCCACTCTGTCTCTCTTTCTCTCAAAAATAAATTAACATTAAAAAAATTCTTTAAAAACATTCAGGGGCGCCTGGGTGGCTCAGTCGGTCGAGCAGCCGACTTCGGCTCAGGTCATGATCTCGCGGTCCGGTCCGTGAGTTCGAGCCCCGCGTCGGGCTCTGTGCTGGCAGCTCAGAGCCTGGAGCCTGTTTCAGATTCTGTGTCTCCCTCTCTCTGACCCTCCCCCGTTCATGCTCTGTCTCTCTCTGTCTTAAAAAGAAATAAACGTTAAAAAAAAATTTAAAAAAAAATTCAGTAAATATGTATTTTAATTATGTATACATTAAATGCGTATATTATTTTTAAAAATATTATGGAGCCGGGGTGCCTGGGTGGCTCAGTTAAGTGTCTGACTCTTGATTTCAGCTCAGGTTATGATCTAATAGCTCGTGGGTTCGAGCCCCACATCGGGCTCTGTGCTGTCAGCACAGAGCCTGCTTGGGATTCCTTCTCTCCCTCTCTCTCTCTCTCTCTCTCTCTCTCTCTCTCTGCCCTTCCCGACTTATGCTCTCTATCAAATAAATAATAAACTTAAAAAAAATATTACTGAACCATCAGATGTTCACCTCCATCTTTTCTCTATTGTAGTACCTGACCCTGAGCAGAATTAGAATGCTCCTTTCTAAATTTCTACATTATTCTGAGCGCCAAAAAATGCCTCTCCTCCTGTTGTGCCCACACGCTGGGCTCGGGCACAAAGGCCTGCCCAGCTTGCCTGGCGGGTAGCAGCACCTTGTGTCTTAGGCACCGGCCAGTCCAGGTGGCTGGAGCTTTTTAAAGAGCTGGGCCGGAAGCCCAGGCCACGGTCACACAGACCCGGACCTCTCTGGTCCCTGCCTGTTTCTGGAATGTGAGCCCAGGAGCCCCGCATGCGGGGATGTGAGCCCAGGAGCCCCGGGATGTGAGCCCAGGAGCCCCGCGTGCTGGGGCCTTGACAGCTCAAGGCTCTGCCTGGACGGGCCGGATGCTGCCCACCTGGGGCCGGGTCCCCTCCGTGGCCTGCTGAGGCCGGCGTGCGGGATAAGGAGGCAAAGCTGGATTCTGCCTGAGCCATGTGGCCTATGGGGTACTGGGAAATGCTGCCCACCCCAAAACGCAACATCCCCAGGACCCCTCATTCACCTACCCCCCTTTAAATATGGCTTCAATGATTGTAAGTGCACGTTATTTAATATGCACCGTTAGAGACGGTCGGAACATACGCCTCCCCCGAGAAACCATCACCCACAATGAAGACAGCGAACACATCCAACACCCCCAAGTCTCCTCCCCCCGTTTGTGAGCCACGCTCCTGTCCTTCCTTCCGCCCCAGGCAACCACTCATCCCTCTGACCTTACAGATTCCTTTTCATTTGCTAGAGTTTCATGTAAATGGAATCATCCGGGATACGCTCTTCTCCTCTCTGGGCTCTGTCGCTCAGCGTGATTATGTTGAGACCCACCATGCGGCGACGTGGATCAGTAGTTTGTGGCTTTACTGCCGAGTAGGATTCCACCAGAGGATGCACCGGATTCCCTGCATCTGTCGGACATCTGGGCTCCTTCCTGCTTTTGGAGCGATGATGAAGAAAACGGCTACCGCCATTTCTGGGCCGGTCTTGGTGCGGATACGTTATCTCCCAGGTGAGCAAACACCGGGGAGGGAATGGCTGGGTCACATCTCACCCGGCTGTAAAACATCCGCGTTCCCGTGGTCCTTCAAAATCTTCCAAGTCGGGCGATTTAATTTCTACTCTGTTCGTTGTCGATCGCGGGCCTTCTCCCTCTCCTCTGTGGCAGATGGTATTTTCGCAAAGATGGACCCAATAGTGTCTCCCATACCGCGTGCTCTTTACAGCGTGGGGCCTGGCTAGCCTTGTGGCCGGCCCGTCACCAACAGAATGTGGTAGAGGTGACGCCAAGTGATGTCTGAGGCCAGGCCATAAGAAGCGTGCAGGAGGACCCTCTCTGCAAGGGGCCCTAAGTCTCCACGTGCAAGGCCTGACCACCACGCGGGTGCTCTGGTCATCGTTTCCAGCTGAGACCCGCCCCCGCCTCCCCGCCCCAAGGCATGAGACATGAGGGCAGCCGTCCTGGACTCTGGTGGAAGGGTCCCCCACGGCGGGACCCCGCTGACACCACACGGAAGTGCAGACCTGTCCAGTTGAGCCCCGCTAAGTCCCCGACACAAAACCATGACATATAAGGACACTGGTGGTTGTTTTATGCCACTAAGATTTGGGGCCAGTTTGTTATACGTCAGTTATCAACTGGCGCACTCTTCTAGAACATCAGCTCCATGACCAAGGGACCGTTTGTCTGTTTTGCTCACAGACCTACCCCGAGGGCCCAGAACGATGCCTGGCAAATAGATCTCCACAAGCGTTTGTTAAATAGACAAGTGAGTGGGGTATGATTTTACGAAGACTGAAGAGATTTCCGTTGAGCAAAAACTAATCCTGGTGTGGTAGCAACGGATCTGGGTCAAGTTCCAAAGCTGAGACCTGCAGCGGCAAGATACTCTTGGCGCCTCGGTTTCCCCAACTGTAAAGCCAGGCTCACTCTACCTGTGTCACGGGGTTGTTCGGAGGTTACCAGAAAACGAAGATGTGTGGAGGGCTCAGCACGGGGCTAATACCCCCAGGAGGTCCCGGATGAGGCTTGCTAAATCTGAGTGAAAAGGTGCCACCCCTGTTCCCTACCCGCTTCGCCTGTGTTTCAGTCGTGGCCGCGAAGCCCCGCTTTGTCCGTGCCTGATCAAACATCAGCGGAGCCGCTCTTACAGGAAGGACCTTACCCCCACCCCCGAGGTCTCTGAGGCCAGGAGAGCATCCCCTGGGGAGTCGACCAGGGCCGAGGAGAATCATGGTTGAGGCCCCTGTCAGACTTGGCCCATGTCCACGGCCCTCTGGGGCCAGTGCTCACCCCGGCCGAGCAAGGGTCCCTGCAACTCTGAAGAAAACCCCTCCCTCGCTCATAGCAAAGCTCTCCTCCCAGGACAGAGGCCAGCGTGGCTTTCGCTTTCCTGCTACAGGCTCAGGGCCATGTCGTGACCCTGTCAGGGCGAGGTGGGCTTGGGACCTCCACCGTGACAGAGGCCACGGCTCCAAGCAGAATTTAATGGGGTCTTGGGCAATGCCATTTGAAAGGCAGCTCGAGAACGTGGCTTTTCTCACACCGGGTCCGTTCGTCCCCTTTCAGCCGATCAATCCCCAACTCTTCCTGGGAAGGGAGTGAGGGGTCACGTAAAGCAGGGGCTCAAGGTCTGCAGCCCTTGCTCATACCTTGAACACAGCCTCTGCGGCCGCTGAGACCGCTGGCGTCTCCCAGGGCCGCAGGGTGGTCACGGAACCCTGGAGGGAACAAGGAAGGACAGGACAAGAAGCTCCTGGCCTGTGTGGCCGAGACCCGCCTTTATTCCCTGGAACAACTTCCCCAGCCAAGACTGGGAACGCGTGCCCAGATCCTGGCACAGGTCTCCCCCGCTCTCCGAAAGCGGAGCGTTCCTATGAAACCCGGGGTGAGCCAAAATGATGTAAGGCAAAGAGGCAACTGCCATTAACGTGTGTGGAAAACTTTGTGAGCGTGCCCGGACCCCCAAAAGTAACCTCTCAGGTTTTTCTGATACCTTAGGACACAGCTTGCTAGTGGATGCACAACACAAACGGAGACAAAGCATAGATGCTCCCAGATGTGGTTCAAAGGCTGGATGCTGAGATGCTGCACGGAGTCCCCAGGCAAGGAGCTGGGCGGGGCCGCACGGGCTGCCTGGGGTGCGTGCTGCCCCTGTAGGGGCTCGCTGCAAAACAAACGCCCAACGCTATTTTTGCCTTTCGTCTTTTTTTTTTGGTAAAAGTGGAAATCCTCTTTGGATTTCTTCCAGTTAGTGAAACCAGGTACTCATGTGGGTCGTATGCAAACTTTCTAAAAGGGGAGGGGGGCTCTGGTATCTCAAGGGGCCTCTGATGAGCTTCCACATCCAGACCGCTCCTCTTTCCTCACTTCCTCTGCCCCCAACGCCTGAAGAATCAACAAAGTATCGGCTAAGGATCTGCAAAGAATAGAGGTTTGGAAACCAGACTCAGCGGAGACCAAGTCTTGGTTCCAAAACCTACCATCCAGGAGATCGCAGAAAAACTCCTTCATCTCTCTCGCGCCCATGCCGCAGACGGGGAAACTGAGGCTAATAAACACCACCCATCTAGCAGAGCTGTTGGGAGATTAGTGAGTTCATCCAGGCAAAGCGATTAGAAGAGATCAGGGGCGCTGGGGGGGCTCAGTCAGTTAAGCCTCTGACTTTTGATTTCTGCTTAGGTTATGATTTCACAGTTTGTGAGATCAAACCCTGCATCAGGCTCTGGGCTGACAGCGTGGAGCCTGCTTGGGATTCTGTCTTCCTCTCTCTCCGTCCCTCCCCTGCTCACTCTCAAAATAAACAAACATGAAGAAGAAGCAGCAGCAGAAGTACAAGCAGCAGAAGCAGAAGAAGAGAGTCCGGCACATTCCAAGTGCTAAATAATTATCAGCTGCAATGGTTACTACTCAAAAGCAACCCACCCCAGTTATACCTCAGTCATCCCACCTGTAAAATGGGTGCACACAGTTTCTTTTTTCTGAATGAAAGCGGTTGGGCTCTGTACCTGCTTCGAGAACCCGCACCAGGTATGTAGGGGTGAGTCCAAGAGGGTGTCTGTGAATTTCCAAACAAACGAGTCTTTCGGTTTTTCTCAGAATAAATGGAAGATTTCCATAACTAGAACACTAATTGTAGTAAAACCTACTGAGAATTGAACCCGAAGTGTGGGACAACAGTCAGAAGGGCCCCTGTTGGGGAAGGGGTGGTGGAGATTCGGGGCGGACTGACTTTCCAACTCACAGAGGGGACGACTCAGCGTGAAAATCCGCAGACGAGGACATCAGTCCCTCAGGTACAGAGACTGATAAAAAGCAAAACAGCCAACGGGGCAAAGTGGCTGCAATACGTTGTCAGTCACCAGGGCCCCGACCCGAGGGCAGAGTCTGGAAATGGTTCCATTTACAATGCTCTCTGGGGCAGAACCCCAGAAACAGCCGCAACAAGCCCACCTCTCTATATCACAGCCCAGTGGAGTCCCCACCCGACGTGAGGCTGGGCATGGCCATGTGGCGTGCTCTGGCCAATGAGACATCAGCAAACATGACTCATAAAAAGGACTTCTGGGTCCACTGGGAGGCTCAGTCGGTTAAGCATCTGACTGCGGCTCAGGTCAGGATCTCGCGGTTCACAAGATCAAGTCCCGCGTCGGGCTCTGTGCTGACAGCTCAGGGCCTGGAGCCTGCTTCGGATTCTGGGTCTCTGTCCCTCCCCCTCCTGTACTCTCTTTCTCAAAAATAAATAAAACATTAAAAAAGTAAATAAATGGGTCTCTCCCTCTCTGTCCCTCCCCCTCCTGTACTCTGTCTCTTTCCCCAAAATAAATAAAACATTAAAAAGGTAAAGAAATAAAAATAAAACGGCTTGTAAAGTGCCTGTGTACCGTACCAGATAGGCTATGACGCTGACAATGAAGGAAGGTGGGGACACAGGGGCTCTGCAGCATTTCTGCACATCTCAGACACAAGAATACTTATTTCTAGAAGCAAATGAATATTTATTTTTAATAAGTTATTCAGTATTTATTTAATAAATTTAAATATTTATATGTGTAAATATTTATTTATTTATTATAATTTTTTAATTACTCGTGCATTCGGGCTTGTGCCCTTTTTAGGAATCCAGCCACCGTGTGAAACAGCAAAACCCCTGGAGACAAATGGCCCAGCCAACAGCTGCAACAGAACAGCAAAGGTTCTGGGCACTTCTTCCGCCTGACCATAAATTATTTTCAACTGGATCAAATTTGGAGCCTAAGATGCCTTCAAATCTGTTAACGATAGTTAAAAGTGGTCAGTAGTCTATTAGGAAGACCTTTTGTCTTCCTTTTGCAGAGTTGAAACTCTCTGGAAACTTCCGCTAAGTCCTAAGACTCAGCAGCTAAGAGGCTTCCGTGTCGGGGCTGTGGGTCAGAGGCGCTGGCTCCGGGTGTGCCCCCTGCAGGAGCCCCAACGGCCACCAGGCTGGATCTGGGGCCCAAGAGATGTGGTAGTGTTGTGCACACGACTTCCGGAGGAGGAACACACACATTCAATCCAGGGTGATGAGGTGCCCAGAGGATGAACACGTCTTTGAAGGAAGGCACGAAACAGAGCACGGAGTGTGCACGTGGGAAGGGAAGCAGGAAACGTCAGGTTGCTTTTCCAACCCACATGGCGCTGGGGAGACAAGGATGTGTGTGTGAGGAAGCAGGGGGGCAGAGCCATCCCGGCATCGATGACACATCATTCTACTCTACTCCACCCCACCGTCTGCAGGCCTGGTTACGTTTGCAGTGGCAGCCAGGGCACGGCCACGCCCACTGGGAATGTAAAGGGCACCGGTGTCCCCTCCTGCCCCAGGTCTGAGACAGTCTCTGTGCCCTAGAACTCTCCGAAGCAGGAACATCTGTGGCACACATGCTTATCTACAGGTCTGGTTGCATTGAAAGAAAAATATTATTCAACTAACTTGCACTGAGTGTTTTGTGGGTTCTAGGCACGTCACTGGTTCTGGGCAGGACCTGGGTCCGATTTGCCCCTGAATTCTGAGCCATCAGCACAGATCCTAGTGTGGGGGAGGTTTTCAGTTTGTTGAATAAGTAAATTCAATAAGGCTCAGTTCCTTCTAAGAGCTTGGTCCAGGGCAAGGAAAGGAAAAGGCCCCATTCTGAGGCCGGGAAAAGGTCCCAACAGGCCTTACTCCTGCGGAAGAGGAGAAACTCAGGCATCGTTTCTCCTCACTTGATGGTTACCTGCTTTGTTGAGCTAACGAGGCCAGCTCTGTGCTGGGTGCCGTGACCTGCGGGAGCCTGGCAGGCGTCCCTCACTACATGCTAAGTCCCAGATAGGAAACCGACGTCCCTCACTACGTGCTAAGTCCTGACAGGGATCAGCATCTGGGGCTGAGAAGTACAGGGAGGAGAGGTCCTTCTCAGCTTCCTCCTCCTGCTCTAACAAACTACTACAAATTTAGTGGCTTAAAACCATACGTATTTTTTGTCTTCGAGTTCTGGAGTCAGAAATCTGCAATGGGTCTTGGGGGGCTAAAATCTAGGCAACGTTCCTTCTGGAGGCTCTCGGGGAGAGTCTGTTTCCTGGCCTCTTCCAGCCTCTACAGGTGCCCCCCCCCCCATTCCTTGGCTCGTGGCCCCTGCCTCCGTCTACAAAGCCAGCAATGTGGGTTGAAATCCTCACACCGAGTCTCTGTTCTGTCATCACACTTCCTTCCCTCTTTCTTACCTTCCTTCTGCCCCCTCTTCTACTTCGGAAGACCCTTGTGATTACACTGGGCTCACTGGAGAACCCTGGGGAACCCCCCATCTCAAGGACATCTAATTAACAACCTTGATTCCCCTATTCACAGGTTCTATGAATTAGGATATTCACAGGTTCTATGCAGGCATTTTGGGGTGGGGGCATGATCCTGACCACCACAGCCCTGAACTACCAGAGAAGGTCCAGGAAGATTTCTGGAGGAAGCAGAGGCTGAACCAGGGCTTGGAGGAGAGAAAGGAGGTGACCCAGGAACCATATGTACATAATCACACGTGTGTATGTCCTCATGCCTGAGAGCGAGAGAGGAGATTGCAAAGGCTGGGCAAGGGTGGGAAAGGGACATGGGGACACACTAGAATACCCCACTTCTGATATTGTCTCCTGCCCCAAACTTCCCCGGTCCCCTAACTTCTGAGCATGCCCCCCGAGGTTCTCCACGATCATGTCTTACCACCTCCCTCCTGCAAAGCCTTGACACGGGGCTTCCCTTCCCAGCCCACACACAGGCTGGTCTTCCTGCCTCTGCTCAAGCTGTTTCCCCTGCATGAGTACCCTCTCCGTCCCTGCCAGCATCCCCTAAGGGCAGAAGTCCACCCTGCTGAAGTCCAAACCTGGCTCGAACCACGCACTGCGCATACTCCTGGCACACTCACGGCGCACCTCCTGGGCTTGTTGGGAAGACTAAATGAGCTAAAGTTCTGGAGTATGTAGCATAAACACATTGCTCAGAAATGCTAGCTGTTGCCACTACCACCAGCAATATCATTTCAGGGGATCCATGAGGAAAACTATTTTCATAATAATGCTATGATGCTATTTGCCTTTTTTTACTGTGTATTTTCACCATTGGTACGAAAGCAACGCAGAGAAAAATGCTGACCATCTTAGCAGAAATCCAGGCAGAGGCGTCAAACCATATTAGTTGTTATGTTCTTGACACCATGTACTTGTTCTTGAAAGAACA